GGGGGGGGGCTGTAGATTCCCAGAAATAGAGCACCTTGGCCTCCTCAAATCATAAACCCCGGAGTCCTAATAGGGCAAAACCTGGGGCTGGTGGGGACCTCTGGTGCTGTGGGCTGCGCTCCGCTCTGCGCCGTCAGCGCATCCAGCAGGGCCAGCGGCGCCTGGGGAGCGCGGGGTCCAGAGGACACGTGTGTGCGGGAAGCAGATGTGAGGCTGTTCCGCCCCAGCAGAGCTGAGGCCCCACTTCCTCTGTGGATCCCCGGTGGGAGCACGAGTCGGATATCCCGGGTGTGGGGGGTTCTGGCAAAGGGACGCGAGGCTGGGGCCCCGGCAGGGGTGGGGGGTGGGGGAGGCCGGCAGCCAGCTGTGCGCATCTGGATGCGCATCCTATCCCTCCGCCCGGCTCTGGCCCAAACCCCGACGCCCGGGTTTGTAGGGAATGTGTTAGGGTCTGTGCTTTCGCGCCCAGCCTCCCGGGTGACCGTGAAGCCTGCGACCTTTGGCTAATGGCAGGCGCGCCGGGGGGAAGGGAGGAACAAAGCTCGCTCGCTGGGGCGGAGGGAGCTGAGAGAGCGGCCCCATTGTTCTTCCAGCCCCGGGTCTGTGCAGAACCCGAGCGGCCCCGGGACTGCGCTGGGTGGCCCGGGGGTCCCCTGCCCGCAGATGGGACCGTGCAGGACGCGGGGCTGCGGTGCCTCGGGAGCCCGCACGGCCGCGCTGGGGCCGGGCCTGGAGCCCAGTGGGCCGCTTTGGCTCCGAGGACTTGTTGCGGTGGCTGGGATGTGGGTCCTGGGCGCCGGGGACGAGCTTCCCGGGTACCAGGCTGGTGCCCGCCCCGAGGGGGCTGGGAAGGGGCGTGTCCGCGCGCGTGCAGGGGCGGGACCGCGAGTGACAGGCTGGCCGAGGAGGGGCCGGTGGGGATGGACCGAGGAGGTGGCGCCCTGGAAAACGCTGCGCTGCAGGCCGCTTGGCCCTGCCGCAGTCTCCCCAGGACCCCCAGACCCCGGCCCGTGCGCCAGGATGAGCCCCTGGCCTGGCACAGGGATTCGGAGCCTCGCTGAGGAGGCCGCCTGTGGGCTCTGCAGGGACAAGTCGGGGTGGGGTTGTGGGTGCAACACGGGCCGGTGACCTCACCAGCCTGCGTCCTGTGCCTAGTGCTGCTAGTGCGGTGAGACAGACAATGAAAGAAAAGAGAGAGTTCTAGGCACGAAGGACCGCCGCGGAGGAAAGGACCTGGGGGCCATGTGATGGAGAGGGACTGGGGCGGAGAGGCCTGGGGAGGCCTCTGTCAGGAGGTGATCATTGAATTGCAGAGAGGCCTGGACAGGCGGG